CAAATTGGGAAATCAGATACAAGGAACCTGGCACAGAAACAAGAATATGGCAAATTGAGGAAAACGATTGTATTAATACCAAATAAACAATTGTAAGAAGGTAAGATCGATGATACCATATCACTCAAATTCACTTATTTAAGAAATTACCTTGGTTAAAATCGAGACTTTTATTTCGTACTATGAGAAGCTCACTATATGATATAAATGTACTTCCCATCATATAAAAATATAAATGATATTCCAAGTTTTAAATGTCACATATCTGGTATATACTATACTTTACCTGTTTTTCTTATATTTTTAATATGCATTTAATGAAAAAATGAATGGTTTTTGGCCTTAACATGCTATTTTTAGCATTTTTGTGGGTTTTGAAGTCAATACAGGTTTTTGGAGCATTTTGGGCCCAAAAAGAGTGAAATAAAGCATTTTCAAGGAAGGACAAATCCTGACCGTTAGATGTATCGCCTTAGATGAAGGAGTTTCCACCGTCAGATCAATCTCATATTGTATCACGAGATAGAAGAGGATCTCAGCTTCAAAATGAATATTCGATCACCACAATCCGACGGTTAGATCTTTATATATCTTTGATCTACTGAAATATGTTTGAGTAAATATCAAGCTAAATGCGGTTCAGAATATTCACCCACGATCGACCAATCACCAGAGGCAATCAACCGATCGCGAACCCACTGTTTTTTACAGACAAACGCATTAACACAGTGATCGACCGATCACAGGAGGTGATCGATCGATCACCTTATCCGAGAAGATTTAGTATTTTCCTGTTTTGAAGATTTTCTCCTAAATCCTTTGGAAAAAGCTCTAGCCGACTTCTAAGCCTATTGTAATGTCCCCGTTCCGGGACCATCATACCGGGACTGTTTGTTTTGGGAAAGGCTAGATCCTATTCAAGAGGTGACTAGAGAATAGACAAAACATAAGGAGAAAGAAAAGGATTGGCAAGCTTGGTTAAGGTCATTAAACAGATCAAATAACTTAGCCAAGG